TTAGTTTTATTTAGTTTTGAATCCATTATTTGCCATCCCGTTGCTGCACTAATCATCATTTAAATACCCTTGGGATGTATTGATAATTTGTGAAGCAAACCTACTCCCTCCTTGAGAATTTTTCAAGACAAGAGAGAGAATAAAGGATGAACATCTTTTGGAAACCCCCTATTTGTCTTTGTTCCAGTTCTGATTGCAACCGATCCTCCCCCAGACTAGATGGCCGGCCGAACAGAGCTCTATACGGCCGACCACTTCTTAAGGTCGGCCGACCCTTTTTTTTTTTTGTACGGCTATGGTACTTTTGTAGTGAGACAGAGTAGATCCTGAGGCCCAAAACAGAGTCATTTTCAGACTGTGAACAGAGCAACTTATGGTAGTGAGCAGTGGGGGTTTCCGGAGGATGTGTTTGCTTGTGCGCATGTGATTCCCCGCCTCTCATTCAAGTCCATTAGACAAGTAGCTTTGATATTTGTATTTTGTAATAATTAGTTAGTAATTAATTAATTAGTTTATTCATTTGGTGTTGTAATAATTAGTTAATTAAGACGTTCGGACCCTCTTGTGCGAGCGTAAATTTGTAATATGTGATGTATGTCTTCTAACCCCCATTTTTTTCTCCCTTTTCATGCTTACGGTGGTTGTATATCATATCATTTTTTCGTTTCATATCATTACCATGCTCTGTATCCATTTTTGCATACATTAAATTCGGCTCATCATGCATAATGCTCTTACCAATTCCTAAGTAATTATGTGCGCTACCTCATGCTTTGAGTTGCTTCACATGTCATATTAGTAGCCGAATTTAGTAGTTGCATTTAGTATGTGTTGCATTAGTCATGTACATTGTTAGGGACATGTATTTTTCTAATTGTTTTGTTTTCTTTGGCTTGCCTCGGAGTACTAGGTGAACAATTTTTGCTTTAGCATATTGCATGTGTGTTTGTGTTACCATGGCAAGCATACTACCATGAGGCTACTCGCTTACTTGAAATATCTCTTTGAATGCCTGTGGATGAAGGCTATTTCGCTTAAGTTGGAATGACTTTGATAATTGTACATATGAGATAACTTTTTTTTTAAGTTGCGCATATTCAAAAATTCTTTAAAAAACGCATGAAATCAAAGCATTCCAAAATGACGTGGTCTATACTTTTTTACTTTACATTGTAATGTTAGTATTATTAATAATCAGATCAAGAGCATATAATGTTGATAAAATTCACATCATAATTAGTAGCGACCGATCTTTGATCGGGTGAAGGAGGTGCTCAATTCATGACCTTCCCCTCTCATATCTAAGTTTCCGAACTGAGACAACTTTGGTTACGACAGACAAGTGGCCTTTGGCACAAGTCACGGGTTTCCTAAATTTTCCAAAAATATTTAGGTGGCGACTCTAAAATCTGGCAATACAGTCCATTTTTGACATCTCTAATGATTAATGGATTTTCTAAGATTTTCCAGATTTTGACTCTTATTTGTTTATTTTTTGTTTCACATTGCATTTGTGAAATCAGATTCAGAACTATGGGAGTCCGAACTGTAGGGCTATTGTACCCGAGGAGACTAAACTCCTCCGAAGGGCACGAAAAACCAGGTACAGTTTACAAGGTTAGTTGTTAGTAGTCTAGAAATTTCCCAAGAGATTTCATTCTTCCAACCACAAGAATCAGATGCGGATTATTCGGTATGCCCTCTCTTTTGCTGCTTTGCAAACTTACCCCAGATGTCTACCAATGATTACATACCACGTAGCACCAACCAAGGACCTTAAAAGAGACGGTAAAATAAGGCCTTGCCCATTCCTTCCTCACACCAAAACTACCTAGGCTCCAAATATAACCACTCTGTTCAAGAGTTCCAAAACAATCACTTTCGTTAGACTTTAACTTTCAAAAGGGAACACGTCTTACTAACCAATTCAATTTAAACATAACATTGTCTCATAACAATACTCATATGATCGAAACCCCATTAGCCACCCCATTAAGTTATCTGTTTAGGTTAATGTTTTAAGTTAGTTAGCACAAGTAAATAAAAAAATAAATAAATTTGCATAAGTATGAGAATCATCGAAGGACTAAAATAAAAGGTATATAACCATGACATATGTAATAAGCATATTCATGAAGACAAGAGCATAAAACACCAATGCTAAACTAAATTTCCAGATTCAGTACTGTTTAAAGATTGGAATTAAAAGGACCATTTTAGATTTTTTTCTTAGACTAGCCTTCCTATGGTTCGTACATAATTTTATCTAGTTTTCAGAACATTTTTCAAAAATGGAATAGTTTTTCTAGAATTTTAGTTATTTAAGAAACACTCTAGCACTGTCCAAATTCGTTGACTGTTACAAAAATCGGATTTTCTTACAAACCGTTCACTATTTTTCAATGAAACCAACTTTTCTTGAAATCTGACTCTTTAAGGAAGTTTTTGACATAAAACCAAAGTCCAGGAGATGTTTCTACATTTTTCTAGATTTTTTGAAAGTTGGCTGTAAAATAGGTTTTTTATGCACAATACTCAAAATAAGAAGATTGGTGAGAAAAGAGGCCAACTAAGGGTAATTTTTCACTTATTTTATGATGAAAACATACTAAATAATGTATCAATGACTTAGATTTTTAAAGTGATGGTATGCCTTTGGAAATAATGTGAGATATAGGAAGAAAAAGGTTGTTCTTGCATCTACTAAGAGGAAATATGAATAGAAGAAGGATCAAAGCCCAATTCATCAACTTTGAACACAAGAACACCATTACAAAACATCTGAAAATATGATTTTCAATCTCTAATAACATGCATTTGAAAAAAGGAAATAGAAGGAGAGATAGTGATGTGGCTTACTTGTTGCCTAGTTGAAGAGTTTTCACAAAGGTTGTTCTCTTCTTCTCTTCTCTATCACCAAAGCTCTCTCTCTCTCTCTCTCTCTCTCTCTCTCTCTCTCAGCTGAATATGTAAGTGTGTGAGTGTGTTTTGTGCTCAAAAGTGTAGAAAGAACTGGTGTATTTATAGAAAAAAAAAAGAATGATGAAAAGTCTGAAATGTCCTTAGTTCCAATTCAATTGAATATAAGGTTTTGATAAATCAAAGTTGAATGGGTTACAAGTACAATATATATCAATATCTAATCATATTTGTACCCTAGGTTAATTTTTCTTTCGTAAATCAAGCAATTTGTCCCCAAAAGGACGTCACCTATATATATGCATAGCATAGCCGGCCTTGGGGAGTGGATTTGAGGGGATTTCTTTTGATTATTTGTGTACAATATGAAGCATAGCCGGCCTTGGGGAGTGGATTTGAGGGGATTTCTTTTGATTATTTGTGTACAATATGAAGATATTTTGTGTACAAAATTATTTATTTAAGAAAGGTACAAGTATATATATATATATAATAGTACTAACTTGGGTCAATTTGTAATTTGATTAAAATGTGAGCGCTTTGGCTTTAATTTATGAGTTTGAACATTTAATTAAGTGTAGTATTTAAATTATTTAAGGTTTGAAATTTTAATTCGGTTAAATTTTTTTTGTTTTGAATTAAACGGCGAATTGTACTGAGAATTGGAAACCTAGGGTTTCTGTGTGAAAAATATACTTAGAAAATTAACTTAATTATTATTAGGGTTTTAGAAATGGTTCCTGAGTTCTCAGGTTCAATTTAGGGTTTGCGAGTTTTTGGTTAGCGCATGTTTTTGGTTCTAGGGTTAAAATTTCAATTAATTAAGAAATTGAGAGACTACAAAGAAATAATTTGAAAGTAAGGGTTAAAGAAAATATTGCAAAGATCAGGGGCCTCACAGCACTGCTCCAACAATTTCTAAATGTTAAGTCTTTTGTTATTTTCATGTTTTGACATAAAGTCATAAGTTCCATCTCCTCCACCAAGCATGATTCGTTTTAGCACCAAAAAAATTGAAATTATAAAATTTTATAGTAACTAAAACTCGAAAACAACTTGTTCAAAACTTGAAAATTTTCTCCATTAAAACAAGAAAAGAGAAGTGTGTAGCAAAGAAATGGTAGTATAACTGAGAGATCAAAGGAGAGAGACAGCTATAGAGAGAGAATCGTACTCCGATAACTATTTTTAGTGTAGATCTAGTCGGATCTGACATAGATCTACTCATCTTCTTCGTTAGAAACTCATCTCTTTCACTGTCTGTGAGAGTGAAGCAAGGCGTTAGTGGTCGGTGGTTGCCGGTGAACCCTAATCGATGGTGGTCACCGGTGGCTATATATCAAAAAGAGAAAGAGAAAAGGGTACGCGTGGTCGTCGGTCTCTGGAAATCAGAAAGAAAAAGAAAAGAACGAAACTGTGAAGAAAAAGAAGAAAAAAAAGCGTGCATAGGACTTTTGGGTATAAATAAAAGGTTTTAGGATTAAATTGAGTACACAACTTTCAAATAGGACTCATGAGTAATTTTCCCTAAATTTTAAAACTTTTTTAATAGTTTTTTGTATGAAGGAATTTGACTAATTTAGACTTTTTTGATGAGACATAAATTTTGTATATTAAACTATAAAAAAAAAATACTTTTTTTAATCAATAAGTTAACGTTTTAATATGGTCAAACAAACCTTAGAATAAATTGAACCAAGATTTTTTAGCATTTGTTTGATTTCCGGAGATAATGTTATAAAAATTACAATTCTTACCTAAAATTTAGAGTTGTATAACAATTATTCTTCTGTTAGTCAATATCAATAGTAGATCTTTTTAATTAGCTGAGTTAGTTTAATTAATTATCCGTACACACTTTTGATGGATGATTAATGATTCAATAATCGTTAATTGCAAAATTTAATTATATGTTCTTATTACAAGAACTCTTTGGTGTATATTAAGGTTTTTCCACCTATTGTGTCTCTAGGAACTCTTTGGTGTATATTGAGGTTTTTTCCCCATCTTATGACTCTTTCACGTGTTGATTGTGTGACGTCCCAAAATTTTTTTTTTTTTAAATATCAAGGGAAATTAAATAAACAAAATGACTTAATAAACTAAAAAGTTGACATCTTAACAGGGTAATCCAACTCTCGTACATAACCAAACGTCCAAATAACAATAGATAAAAACTTAAAATTATCCAAATACAACATTAAATGAAATTATAAAGTCCTTAATAGCTATTATATAAAATAATATAATTTATTCGGCTCTACTCGGGGTTTCAGGTCAGCCAAAGCTCTACGTTAGCGTCGACTCCATTTCAGCTTCAATTATTTTCTCGCCAAGACCTGGCATAAAACGCCAGGGCAACAAAAATATATGCCATGAGTTTTGCAACACAGTAAGAAAACATAACCAACCTACCATTCTTTTTAAGAGAAAAATAATGAGATTATAAACACGAGATAATAATATAATTGTAAACATGAATTACAACCATTAAAATAATTTCAATAATTTTAATAAATTAGGTGACACTCGAAATCTCACCAAAGAGATTTAACTTACCAACCACTAAGCATGGCAACGGTCAATTTGAAATCCTCCCTTGGTCAAATATTTTAGTGTTACCAACCGTAACTACCAGGGATGCCCACGTCCGGAGTTATATACCTAAGTAGTAACATCCGTGGTCTGCCCCAAGGAAACGGTCTGCCAGGGGTACGTAACCTCCCCGTGTGCCACCAGCACATCCACCTTTATTCCAAAACCAAATACCGAAAAGGGTTCAAATAAGTCCCGTGCCATCTTAGAGTTTCACAACACAATTTACGTGAGAATTCTTAAAACCAGGGCTCACCCTGAACAACCGGTATTAACCATCAATCCCTTGATTTCATACACTCTTTAAAATCAGAACTCACCCTGAACAACCGGTATTAACCGTCAACCCTTAATTTCGTACACTCTTTAAAACCAAGACTCACTCTGAACATCTAGTATTAACCGTCAATTGTTAACTTTGTATATGCCGTTAATTATTTCAGTTAATTTTGATATTACTCACAAATAATTCCAATTTTTTTTTTCACAATTGATGTTATACCAACTCATTAAAATTCTCAACATAAAATATTACACATATCACACAATAATAAATAAATGTACAGCCTTTAAATAAACAATTTATTTAAACCATGGTCTGAAATAATGATTTCGATACAGAGAAAATAAACCAAAGTCACACGTGCATGGATTTTTAATTTACAAGATTAGACTACAACAATATTAAATAAACCACAATACACCCATACATGGATTACTAATTTACTATATTTGATGAATTGGACCAACACAATAACTGATTTTTATCCGAATAAATAATTGAAGTCATGATCTTAAACCTGTCTAGAAATTTTCAGGTTATACCTTAGGTAATAAAAATTATAAATAAATTATTTATACAGTTCTAAAATTCGTGAAAATGTACAGAATATTCGATAAATATGTTTGGGTCATTTTTCAGAAATAAATTCCCAAAAATAAGTTGTAAATAATTCTGTAAAATTCCCAGAAATTTTTATGACACCGATTTATCACATTTTCTTAAATTAATTCCATACTTAAATTTATAAATCAGATCCACAATCCAAAATTTAGTATGAAATTAGACTTCTCAAATTTCATATTTTAGTTAGAAATTACTAGATTTGGCTTAATATAGAATTTTTAATAAGTTTTTAAGCATATACTAAAATCTGTCTTACAGTAGCAGATTTAATTATAAATTTGTATAAATTCGTACCAAGCTCAATAATTGTTAAAACAATTCATGGATGAACTAGACATCATTCTCAACAATTTTGTAGAAGAAATAATTTCAAAATTTTGAGCATAAAATTGTCTAAAAATTCGTACAAGTTTCTGGCAGATTGAAGAGTTATATAATCAAACCAAATAAAATCTTTAATCATCTTTTTAATGGCACAAACTACCCATGCAAGTCTAAATCCAAGATTATATCATGATTTTAAGGCTACCAATAAAGAAATGACCTTCAAATATTTAACATACCAATCACAAATTTACATACAACTATAAACAAAATTTTATCTAAAGTTTTAGCTATGTTAACATATGAACACAAATCTAAAAATTTAACAATTAAAAAGAATGAGACGGTTATGAGAGTTTTCTTACTATGTTAGGTTGTTAACGATTTATCGTCCGAATTTTATTTATGATTCTGATCGTAAGATATAATCGTCCTGGCTCCATGATCGTCTTGCTGAAATTTCACATCAATCGGACGCGATCTCACCGTTGATCTGCCATTGGATTCTCTTAGAACTTTTAGTTGTTGATCATCATCTTGAAAGATCTAACCCCAGAAATGGATTCTACACGTCGAAAAACCTAGGGGTGGTCATCCCCAAAGTCATAGGACCACTCGATTAACCTAAGTGTGCTAGGATGCACCATAGCACCATGAGCCGAGAAACACTGGATAAAATTTAGTTCATCTTCTCCAACAGCAGTAGCACGCACGAACAGAGAGAGAAATTTAGTTTCAATGTCCCCAGTTCAAATACTTGTATCTTCTTCATCGTAACTCCGTTTTATCTTATTTTTCTGTCATTGGATTCACCTCACGACCTAGTTTTTGGTTCACTACTCACACGCCTTGTTCCATCTCTTTTTGCATGCCGTCGGATCTCTAAAATTTGACGAAAAATTAGATTTTTTTCCTACCGTCTCGGACATTTCTTCGAACCATCTTTCGGACCCCATAACTTTCTTAATCCTTAACGGTTTTACTTCATTCTTTCGCCAATCTCTTCAACTTACTCCGTACTTCATCTTACATGATCCATTTTCCTCAATTCTTCCCGGAATGGATGGTTTTGGCATGCCGAAAGTAAGCCGAAAACCAACTTTTGAAATTCAAAATAAATTTCTCTAACTTTGTTTCTTTCTCCTCCATCTTCTTTCTTCTTCTCTTTCTTAAGGACTTGCACTTTGTGAATGGTGGTTCTAGATGATAATGGAAATAGGTGATGGTGGTGGTGGCGGTCCGACGGTGTGCCGGTGGTGGAGAAGGTCGCGGGTTGGTGATAGTGTGGGTTAAGGCCGTGGCTATGGAGGTCGAGGAAGGAGGAAAAACATAGATAAAGGAGAAAGAGAGTTTTGAGAATGAGAGATGGAGGGAGAGAGAGAGAGAGAGAGATGAAACGGATAGAGAGAGAGCGCTATGCAATTGGAAGAGAAGCAAAATGAGGAAGAGTAAAAGAAGATAAAAGAAAATGAAAAGAAATAAAAAAAAAGAAGAAATTGAACACTTGGTCAGCATGTTCACCACGTTGTCTTTTGATACATAAGATAATTACACGTTGAAGGTGGAATGCGAGAAAACCTGGGGTAGCAAACCCATGGTTTTTGATTGGGTTTTAGTACAGAAAATATAAGGTTTCAGTGTAATTGATTACCAAAAAAATATAGAGAAAAATATAATAAAAATATCATACGGTTCAGAATTAATATTGAGTAATAATATAAAGTCAAAAATATTTTATTTTATTTTATTTTGAATAAATTTTCAATATAAAAATATACAGACTATTAAATTCAAAATATTGTGAATAATTATTTAAGAAAATTAAAAATATACATATTATTTTTATTATATAAAAATACGGGGTTTCACAGATTGTTAGACTTATAAATATGTATTATTGATTATAATTGTCTAATTTGATACCCTTTCTAAATTAATAAATAATTTCTTACTCATTGATCTAAAATACAACAATTAAATATTTTTAAAATTTCAATTTCTCTTTTGTCTTCATTAGTAATCTCTCTTTCTCTCAGCCATTGGTTATTTTATCATTTATTTTGGTTTAAAAAATGATGCTTTCATTATCAGCAAGTCTAATTATGTTGAAGGAATTGAAATACTATTAAGCACAAGACAAGACTAGGAAGGAAATACTACTAACCACAAGACATGACTAAGAAGGAAATTATAGCTAAAAGCAATTTTTGAGATTGGCTCAGCCAAAAACTTCATATATTTTGTCCTGATTCTTAAAATAGGTGAACTGTACTTCATGATTCAATTTATGATTTTATAATTATGATTCCGGTTTGGAACTGAATTGGATTGTTTAGATATATACATACATATATATAATTTGTTATTTATGGTTGTATTCAAGTATCTTATTAGTATCTTATATATATATATATATATTCCTAAGTTGTTGACCATTTGCATACAAGTGTGTTCTTACAAAAGAGTAGAACTAGTTCTACCACACAATAATTTAAATGATTTTATTTGTAAAATGGTGATATATTGCTTGATCTCTGAGCAATTTGTGAATATGTTGTGAATGATGATAATGCTCATAAAAATTATGGTTCCAAATCAAATTGAACCGCATTTTTCTGGTTCGGATTGGTTCCAATATTTTCATGGTTTCATTTTAGTTTTGTTTTAAATTTTATAGAACCGTAGGTAGTTGTTTAGGCATGATTTACTTCCAAATCGAACCAAATCGAATTGTATTCACCCTTAACCCTACTCACACTCCTCACACCGCAACCGATGGTTGGCAACTATTGTTGTGACACCTGGGTTTTTCGGGCCACTCCAGCGTAGATCTTCAGCTCCCAGTAGTTGGCAGTTTTGCAAGCGGATCGCTCGAGCAAACAAGTTATCGTTTGAGCGTAGAATGTTTACTCCCAATAAGTATACTGTAGCTCTGCAAAACTTCTGAGACCTCTCATTTTTCGCTCAAGCGTAGGAAGTGTCGCTCAAGCGACCCTTCCGAATTTGTGTTGTTCGCTCGAGCGGTCAGTTAGGACAGTAGATTTTAAAAGCTGATCCTTACTCATTTCTTTCCAATTTTCGCACTCTCTCTATTTCTAGCTCTATTTTTTCGAAAACCCTAGCCCGTCCACTCTTGATTTCTCTAATTTCAACCTGAGATCCATCCAAAATCTTTCAAGAAAAGTTGAAAGGAGGCTTAGATCAACATTTTTACTGATTGTTTCGCGAGTTCATCAACATTTCAAGTGTGGTTCTCAAGCCTAGCTTCCTATTTTGAGGTAAGGGTGCCTTTAACTCGCTATATCTTCAATTTAAACTACTTATGTGTTAATTTTATTAGCTATTCATGTTATATATATATATATATATACAGATTGTGTTGCTAGTAAGTGATTTGGAAAAATGTGAGTGATACTCTATGGTTACGAATGAAATTATGTCCATTATTAAAGATTATTATGAGTGATGATGAGAGTTGATCTTCAATTTGTACAATAGAGAGAAAACCCCAAAATTTCCCTAAACCCTAACTTTGAGACTTATTCAATAAAGAAGGGTTTTACTCAATTGGTTTCAAAAATATGAAATTGAATGTACTTACTTAACTTTAAGAGTGGAATGCAAGAATTGAAGCTCTATACCTATATAACCCTTGATGATAATGAGAATTGCTTATGAGGCATTCTTTATTATTGATGTGAGAAATGTTAAATTGTTATGATTTGGGATTTTTTTAGGGAAAATCAAAGGCTTTCCAAATTCATGCATCATATGCATTTTACAATCTCTTTTGACATCATAAGGAAATGAAAGTTAAAAGGTTGTAAGGGGGTAAATTGTCTATGAGTCCGGGTAATGAGTCAGGTTGAGTTGAGTTATGTATTATAATTGGTTCTGGCGTGGGAAGTCAAGGTGCCCGATTGCCTTGTCTACGCATATCGCCAAACGAATATGGAAAAATGTTTTGGGTGTCCATGAGCCCAACGTTTCTGGAGCCGGAAAATATGGAAAACATGGTTTTGGGTGTCCAGGTTCTCTTCGTTTATGAAGCCGGCAAATGTGGAAGGGAAAGTGTTTTTGGGTGGCTATCACCCCGCCGTTTATAGAGTTGGCAAATGTGGGACTATTTTCAATATACAAAACTATAATTATATATATATATATATATTTTTACTTTCGGCTTTTATTTGGGATGTCATAGCATGTTTACATCCGAAGTGAATGTGGAAAGATGGAACAAAGTTCATGCATCATATCTTTCTTTTACATACTTAGACATTTGTAACCACTTACATTTCTATGATTTCAAATGTTGCATTGCATGATCATAAGTTTTTCAATTGGCTATATGCCTTGTTAAATTCATCACCTACTGAGCTTTAGCTCACCCCCAAAGCTAACAATTTTCAGGATATAAAGATGAAGTGCCTACCAAGTGATTGCTTTGATATGAAGGAACCTTTTTGGGAATTTGATGGCATGTTTTGCCATATTTTGTTGAACATAGTTTACAAGGGTTGTAATTATATGTTGTTATATTTTGAAAATGTACTTTTGTAAGGAGTTTAATTGGGACGTAATCGTTGTAGAAGTTTCTTGCCTTTTGAACTATTTTGTTTTATTTGGGATGTAATGAAACAATATTGTAATTGTTGAAGAATAGTTCAAAAGGATAGAAATATTATGAATGTTATTTTCTTATTACTATCTCTCTTTTTATTTGCATGGATTGTATGGTAGTAATGCCATGTGGACGGGATTCGAAATGGTTCTTCCAGGGCGTTACAGTTGTCATAGCTCATCCCATTGTCATTTCCTATTTCTACAACCCCATTTGTAACTGTGATACGACGTGTCAATGATGACATACTATCACCTTCCAATTAGAACCTTCCATATAAGTATAAGGTACCCCATTATGCACGTGTTATAATTAGTGGATTAAGTTAGATAGGTAATTATGTTTATTTAGTGGAATTTACCCTCATATGTAGTGTTTTATGATTGGTTAGTGATACCACGTATCAATGATAATGTGCTATCACTATTACACTGAAGTTTTACTCGTTCTATTGTCATCACAACTTTCATCTACAACCATCACTACTTGTAGTGTGAATTATAATAGCTTCAAAATTTAAGTTGAAAAATTCAAAAATTAGGGTAAAAACTTTAAAAATATACTACATATACATCATGTGCACGCACACGTCCACACAGATATCTATGTATACTAATATTTAAAGTAAACATCTCTGTTGGTGTAGAAGTCGCATTTTTTTTTTTAATTTTAAAAATGCTATTAGAAGATAATAACTGCTATATAATGTTTCAAATATCTTCAACTGTTTCAAATAATTGCCATAACTATTAGATCCAATTACAAATTGCACACACGTAATGTTTGTCCACCTCTAGTGTATATATATACAATGTTGTTATTATTATATTTCCATGTTAATTGAGAGATCTATGAGAGGTCTCTCTTGTAAACCAATTGTTGTTGGAAAAATAATGATTTTTTGGTGACTTTAATGAAATATTAAAGTGGGTGCCAATCCTCATTAGAGGTAGATTAAAGTGGGTTTAGATTTTTTGTAATGAAATCTTTACACCACAAAAAGAATGACCAAAAACCATTAAGATTTGAATGAGAAATTGAATCACTAAGTTGGCCTCATGAAAAAGGAGTTGGAAAAGGTGGTTGTAGGATTATACACAATACACATGTATATAAAACTTGGTAACTCCTTTCTATTCATGATGGTTTAAAGCCATCAATTTTGCAATTTATGTCTTGGGAGTTTTACAAAATTAAAACCTCTATTTGTTGCAGGAGCCTTTTCCTCTCTCCTTCACCAGAAAGTTTGCTCTCTTTTTGTGTTCAAAGTTTTCCTCAAGTTTTTATATTCTTCCTAGTGAGAGAGTGCTACCATAGTCCTATTCGCCAAAGCTACTCAGTCGATGCATTGTTGTAGCTGGTCCAACCATCGTATCCTGGAAGACAGACGTCAAACAACCTCCAACACCTAACCGGTGAGGCGGCAAATCTGTTTTAAGTAGACTATCTAGTGTAGGCTTCGGTTTGCTTCCTTGTGCTAGTTTTATTTTATTATGAATTTCAGTAAATTCCAGCATGCTCTTGTTCTAAAATTCAAATTGGTTGTTCAATATGAATCTATTTGTTTTATTTAATTACACAATATATACAACAAACTTAAAACAGATTATATGTTTCTCATAGTATACTAAATAGATTCATATATATATACACTGCTTCCAAGGCATGATTAGAAGATTAGGAAGGAAAAAAAGAAGAAAAGAATTTGCCCAGTTTCGTGTGAGATCACTTCTAGGACTTCCAGCATGTATAAATATATTTAGACACTATTCATAAGGCCATTGTTTGCTTGTTTAGTATAATAATAAAACAAAATTGGAAAACAGTTGTTTGGTGATGAATTCATGATTAGAAATTTGTGTACATATGTATAATATTTCACTTACCAACATGATAAGGAGAATAATATATAACAGATATTTATTTATTTACTGTTACTATTTTCGGAAAATAAGAGTTGTATGCTATTGACTATAGAATTCAATTGCATGTGTCTTAATTTCTATTACATGAAAGTTGTACAAATTTATTGACGTACATTGTTGCTTATTTTTGGTTTCAATTTTAGACATTTAATTTCTATAGAAGGCCACTATTTCATATTGTAAAGAATAATTCACTGTTTAATTTCTAGTTTTATGAGCATGATTTTTATCATGATGTGTATAGTTTCATCATATGATTTGCATACTCATGAGCTTCAAGTTGTTTAGTTAAATTTTAATCTATGTTACATGCTTGTTATTTCTAGAATTATTTACATGTGTAATTTGCGTGCTAATTGTTTTACAATTTCTAGAATGATCTTATTTACATGTTAATAGCTAGAAACATTCACATGTGTATTACATGATTATTGTTTTGTATAAATTCATATGTAACTTTTGCATATTAATTTAATTTATTTATTTAGAGCTATAAGTTTACATGTTTATTGTGAATTAAATTCATATGTAACTCATGGCTAGAATTTTAAATATTTAGGAGGTATAAAGCTTTGTAACTTGTGTAATAATTTTATATATATAACTCTTGACTATTAACTTTTAACTTAATTCCTAGAGTTATAGATTTATTTTTGTAACTCATCTAGCATTTTAATTGGTTAGTTAATTTTATTATTAAATAGTTTGCTAGATGCTTTCAAGTAATTTATTATATTTAAAGTTTCTTTAGATTGGTTGGTGTGTATTTTCTTGTGTTTTTCTGCTAACTTTCTTTACAGGAATACCTATGTGAAAGGGATTGGAAAAACAAATACAAAACCAAATGAATAGTATTTGGGATGTCAAAACAAAAATGTTTGGACTACTAACCTTTGTGTTGAACAGGAATACCTAAGTGTGGAAAGGTTTTTAAACTAAATAGAATCCTTATGGATTGGTTACTGTCTTTATCATTGAAGTAATTTTTTTTTTTTTTTTGCTTGAGATTTAGGTTACTTGCCAATTTTATTTTAAGCAAGGTTGTTTAGTTAGCATGTTGGAAGCATTTTATATGCATGTAATTGTTATAGAAATTTTTTTACATTGCTTGTAATTTGATTAGCAATTTTTAAATTGCTTGTAAGTTTGGAAATTGGTTTGTTTTAACCTAGTTCTTCCCTTGGAAAATTTAATTCTAAAAATTGGTTCCCATGGACAAGGAGTCAACATGCTCTTGAAAGTTTTGTCAAAAAATTAACTGGGTTTTAAGTGGGACTGATGTGACCCCTCCAGTCTTTTTGGGAACATTCCTAACCACGTTCGATTCTAGGTTAAGTAATGAGACTAGTTTTGAGTTAAATTTCCAACTGTGGGATTTTCTAGTTTTAAGTTTAATTTCTGGAAACACAGAAAGTGAAATTCTGTTGTATTTTCTAGAAATGGCAACTGTCACCGATGATGTTGTTGCTGCTGCTAATGTTGATGGGAATCAGAACCCGGGGCAACTGGCTTGCCAACCTATGCTGCTGTGACCTCTATGGTCAACCCGGTTACTGTGACCTCTGTGGTCAACCTTGTTGTTGCTCCTGCTGTTTTGAGAGGCCTGCTCAACCATTAAAAGCGCCCGCAGAAGTTCACGAGAGTGAATTTCAAGAGGTGGTAACAGAAGATGCTGTTCTACTTGACTACATAAGCCTTGCGAGATTTTTGAATAAAGATCCACCAGCCGTGGAAGAGAATGAGCAAGATAAGTAAAACCTCATGGCTCTAGATGCTTGGAAGCAGTCAGACTTCCTTTGCCGGAACTATGTTCTGAATAGCTTGGCAGATTCACTTTTCAACGTGTTTTATGCCAAGGATTTGGCAAAGGAGTTGTGGGATGCTTTGGACAAAAAGTACAAGACTGAAGATGCTGGGGCAAAGAAACTTGTTATTGGACGGTTTCTAGACTTCAAAATGGCAGACTCAAAAACCGTCATTAGTCAAGTGCAAGAGTTCCAAGTAATTCTACACAAGATTCATGTAGAGGGAATGTTCCTGAGCAAATCATTCCAGGTAGCTGCGTTGATTGAGATGCGTAACGGTTGGAAAGACTTCAAGAACTACTTGAAGTACAAGCGAAAGGAGATGACAGTCGAAGAGCTTGATGTCAGGCTCCGTATTGAGGAAGACAACAAAAAGAAAGGAGGGAGTACCTCCATTGTGAAAGCAAATGTGGTTGAACATGGCCAGTCCTCGGGGGTGAAGAAATAACCACCGATAGGCAAAAGCTTGAAGTTGGGGGCGAGAGGCGGTCTCTCTAAGAGGCCAGCCTACAAGCCGCAGGAACCTACTTATAGGTTCAATGGAAAGTGCTTCAACTGTGGAAGCAATGGGCATCAGGCGGTTGACTGTCGCAAGAAGAAGAAACCTGACAAGAAGTATCCTCCACAAAACAAAAGCCGGGCTCACATGGTTGAGATAGAGGATCTATCACAAGATGTGGACGACATGTATCTGGCAGCTGTCGTTTCTGAAGTGAACATAATAGGGTCTAACCTGAAGGAATGGTGGATGGACACTAGGGCCACTTGCCATATTTGTGCTGAGAAGAAGATGTTCACAACCTTTGAATCGATTTCAAAAGGTGTGAAGTTTTTCATGAAGAATTCTGCCACCTCAACTGTTGAGGGAAAGGGCAAGGTGGTCCTGATGATGACTTAAGGGAGCTAACTCTGACGATGTCCTATTTGTGTCGGACATTTGTAAGAATCTTGTCTCAGGGTCACTCTTAAGTAAGCATGTCTTATGCATGGTGTTTGAGGCTGATAAGGTCGTGTTGACCAAGAGCGGGGTCTATGTAGGGAAAAATAATATATGTTGGGCTGTATGTTTAAGCTCAATGTAATGACTCTTGTCCCGAAAATTAATGAGAAAGCTCATTCTTCTGCTTATATGCTTGAGTCCGCCAATTTATGGTATGGTAGACTGAGTCATATAAATTTTAACTCTTTGCGTAGATTAATCAAATTAGATCACATACCATCTTTCAAGATTAATCCAAATCACAAGTGTGAAACATGTGTAGAAGCAAAATTGAAAAGGACTTCTTTTCATTCTATTGAAAGAAGTACCGAGCCTTTAGATTTAGTGCATAGTGATATGTGTGACTTGAAAGTCGTACAATCACGTGATGGTAACAAGTACTTCATCACTTTTGTTAATGATTGCACTAAATACTGTTATGTGTATTTGCTTAAAAGGAAAAATGAAGCAAATGATAAATTTATTCTTTTCAAGAATGAAGTTGAGAATCAACTAAGCTGTAAGATCAAGGCTTTAAGAAGTGATCGTGGTGGTGAGTATGAATCCTCGTTTGTCGAGATTTGTGCTCAAATTGGGATTATTCACCAAACCCCCTACTTCCCTCAATCAAATGGTGTTGCTGAGCGAAAAAATAGGACGTCAAAAGAAATGATGAATACAATGCTAATAAATTTTGGGTTGCCACAGAACTTGTGAAGGGGAGTAATTCTCTCGGTGAATTACATTCTTAATAGAATACCTTGAAACAATATAGATAAGACTCCATATGAGTTGTGGAAAGGCCACAAGCCTTCATATAAATACCTACGAATGTGAGAATATCTTGCAAAAGTGGCGGTGCTTACACCCAAGCGGGTTCGGATAGGACCGAAGTCAGTAGATTGTATATTCATTGGCTATGCACATAATAGCAGTGCATATCGATTTCTTGTATATAGGTCTGCTATTCCAAATATACACAAGAATACGATCATGGAATCGATAAATGCATCTTTCTTTGAAGATGTATTTCCGTGTTATCTCCAAGAAGAGATTCTGAGTTCCATGAAAGAGGTTGAAGGTGACAATGATCACATAGATGATCACTTAGATGATCAAGTTAATGATTGAGCTGAGAACGTAAACGAGCCAAGAAGGAGTAAGAGGGCTAGAACTGCAAAGTCCTTTTGTCCAGACTTCTTGACTTATATGTTAGAGGGAGAACCTCAGACTTTCCATGAAGCTGTGGCTTCACCTAAAAGTTCTTTGTGGAAATAAGCAATTAAAAGTGAGATTGACTCCATCTTACAAAACCATACTCGGGAGTTGGTTGATCTACCTCCAGGCAGTAAGGCCTTGGGGAGTAAGTGGATCTTTAGAAGAAAGATGAAGCGGATGGATCAATTGATAAGTATAAAGCTAGACTAGTTATCAGAGAATACAGGCAGCGAGAGGCCTAGATTCTTTGATACTTATTCATCTGTGGCAAGGATTACATCCATTCGCATGGTAATTACGATAACAGCTTTATGTGATCTGGAGATACATTAAATGGATGTAAAGACAACTTTCTTAAATAAAGATTTAGATGAAGAAATCTACATGGAGCAACCCAAGGGGTTTTCAGCTCCAGGATAAAGTAAAAAAGTATGTAAGCTTGTCAAATCATTATATGGTTTGAAGCAAGCTCCTAAACAATGGCATGAATATTGTCAAATAGGTTCAAAATCAATGAGTGTGACAAATGCGCATATGATAAAGACACTGACAGAGGTTATGTCATTTTTTGTCTATTCTTTGATGACATACCCATTGTTGGTAGTAACGATGAGATGATTAGAAACACCGAGAGATTGTTAAACTCTAAGTTTGACATGAAAGATATGGACTTTGTAGATGTAATTATGGGTGTTAAAATTACCAGAACATTTGATGGTATTATACTTTCTCAAGCTCACTATGTTGAAAAAATACTTGAGAAATTTGATAGATTAGATACAAAGGACTCCAAATCCACTAGTGGTTATGTATTTACCCTCGAAGGGGCAGCTGTGTCTTGGAATCTTCCAAGCAAATGTGTATATCAAGATCAATGATAGAATCTGAGTTTATTGCTTTGGATAAATCAACTGAATAAGCTGAATGGCTTTGCCAATTCATTGAGGATATTCCACGTTCGTCAAAACTTGTGCCATCCATCTATATTCATTGTGACAGCTAATCGGCGATTGGACGGGCACAGAGTAATATGTATAATGGAAAGTTTAGACATATTCGTCGTAGACATAATTCCATACAACAACTACTCTCGAATGGAGTTGTCACTTTAGACTATGTAAAGTCTAAAGACAACATTGCGGATCCGCTAACCAAAGGGTTAAATCAAGTGTTAGTAGAGAAGTTGTCAGAAGAAATGGGTTTAAGGCCTTTAGTGTAAGGTGTTACCGGAATGGAAACCCAACCTAGTTGACTAGAGATCCCAAGATCTAGGTTCAATGGGACAACCTAATTGCATGTAACGGTGGTATGTCACTGAAGAGGTTAAACCTCCAGCCATTCCTTTTATCAGCGATACCTACAAGTGTAGAGGTTAAGCTAAGCTTTTAATGACTCCAGTGTGTTGAGCTATTGGCTTAAGTATAGCAGGATACTCAAGAAGGGTCACCTATATGAGTATGAAGTGGGGTCACTTCTATAATAATTGCCAAGGCCGAATTCTTGAAACCATTCACTGAACCAGGCTAGTGTTCCAAGGCCAAATCGGACACAACAGTGAGAACAAAATGATGGTTGGAGTAATTCCTATGTGAGGTTTGTTGTCTTGGTTTGCATAAATGGTAGAACAGTTCAAGTCTTCATGTTCAATAGGCAGCCAGTAAGTTCGATAGATTTCACTAGGAGGGGTTCAAAGCCAGAAGCTACCATTTCCGATGTCGAGGTTATTTCGTCACACTCTCTCCGAGTCTTTGTTGTTAAGCGTTATCCGTTTGTTGTTATTTGGTCAATTTTTATTCATGTGGGGGATTGTTGGAAAAATAATGATTTTTTGGTGACTTTAATATAATGTTAAAGTGGGTGCCAATCCTCATTAGAGATGGATTAAAGTAGGTTTAGATTCTTTATAATGAAATCTTTACCCCACAAAAAGAATGACCAAAAACTATTAAGATTTGAATGAGAAATTGAATCATTAAGTTGGCCTCATGAAAGAGGTGTTGGGAAAGGTAGCTACAGGATTATACACAATACACATGTGTGTAAAACTTGGTAACTCCTTTGTATTCATGATGGTTTAAAGCCATCAATTTTGCAATTTATGTCTTGGGAGTTTTGCAAAATTAAAACTTGCATTTTTTGCAGGAGCCTTTTCTTCTCTCCCTCCATGTGTATAAAAGGAGACCCTCTCCTTCATTCTTCTACACCAGAAAGTTTGTTCTCCCTTTGTGTTCAAAGTTTTCCTCTAGTTTTTATATTCTTCCTAGTGAGAGAGTGCTGCCATAGTTCTGTTTGCTGAAATCACTCAGTCGGTGTATTGCTGTAACTGGTCCAACCATCGTATCTTAGGAGATAGACGTCGAACAACCTCCAGCACCCAACTGGTGAGATCTTGAATCTGTTTTAAGGAGACTGCTTAGTGCGGGCTTCAGTTTGCTTCCTTGTGCTAGTTTTATTTTACTATGAATTTTTGTAAATTCCAGCATGTTCTTGTTCTGAAATTCAAATTGGTTGTTCAACATGAATCTATTTTTTTTTTATTTACACAATATGTACAACAATTGTTTGATGAAATTTGTAACAAATTATTCTTCCTTTGTCATGGTTGTGGTAGGGAGATGGAAGATAGTGGTAGTGGGAGGTGAGTGATAACTTGATACTTCATAAACTCCTTGGCCTTTATTTATTATTATTTTTTATTAAATTCTTTAGTGGTGGTAGATGGTAGCCGTGATGGGTAGTGGTTGTAGTCACTCTAGCACACGTTACTACAACCTCTAGCACTATCACACCACTAACCCTACCCACACAACCACTACAACCACTATTACCATCACTAGCAACACCATCCTCTACCCTCACCGCAATTGCTACAACCTCACTACACATACCATAACAATATCTCAAGTATTTCTCTCATTTTGGTCGAACAATTATGATTTTCACAACCCACGTCAATTCATTTTATGTGGTTTCACCAACTCGCCAAACTTAAAGAGGATAATAAACATGCCATTTGAATTTTAATACATGATCAAAACTATTTATCATATTTTTTTTACAAGGGTATAAAGTGAAAATGGGTCATGATTTATTTAGGGGGTTTATGTAATTTTTTCAAATCAAATAATCAAATTTAACTGTAGAATCAATAATGTTAAGAATACAAATCAAACTTATGTAATGGATCACATATATGAAATCCCATATGTCAGATTCAGTATTTGTCCTAAATTGTTGGCCGATGTGAGATTCATGTTTACATCTAAACTTATTCTTATAAAGTATGTTCAAAAAGGTAGAAAATTTATAGATGAAAACTATATGACTTTGTTTGGTGCAATGTTTTGTAGGTGAAAAGTTGATAATCAAAAGTAAATTGTTTTTCAACTTATCCAAGTTATTTATGTTACATTGTAAGCAAAAATTGTACCAAATGTTTTAATATAAAAAAAAATTAAAAAAAATTGTGCATGGTAAGAGAAATATATGGAAAAAGTATATAAAAATAAAAGAAATAAGAGAGAAAAGAATTACAAAATAAAAATTTTGATTGATTGATTTGAAAGAAAGTAGAGAGAAAAATAAAAGGAAAAGTATGTTGTTGTACCTTGGATTTTTTTTTCTATATGTAATTTTAAAGGAAAATTATATGAATTTATATTTAATTTACGCTCTATTTGTTTACGCAGAAAATATTTTCT